GAGAGAGAGAGAGAGAGAGAGAGAGAGAGAGAGAGAGAGAGTGTAGGGGGCTCTCTCTTGCAACAGTTGGCTTTGCAGGTAGGAGAGTTGCATCTGCAGTACATATGACTAAAATACAGGTGTCTTGTTTTCCCATATCAGCATATAGTGGGGGGCCTTCCTTACCCAATGAATGCATCTGTGGTGAAAGGGGCCCATGCCTATTTGTCACTGATGCAGCAGACAGATGGTTCGTTCAAGGTTTTCCTGTGTGGGACGTGTATCAATGAAGAAAATATTTGTGTGGGAAGGAAACAGCCCTGAAAGATTCCATCGGTAACGAGATAGTCAACTGTATGAAGAAGGTAGTAAAGTATTAGCATCTTCTCCCTGTGAGTTTATGCATCGCTAAGGGGACAAACGGAGGCACCATCCTGAAGACATTCCGTAGGCTGTGGCTCCATCCAGGGTGGAGGTCTCCACCGGGCAGTTGGTCTGCTGTAAGTAATATATAGAGGACTAGATCGGTGAGGCTCTGTGGTCATTTTTGTGGGGAGTTGCATTGGTTGATGGCAGGGCTGTTCTGTGTGCCATTGCTATGACTCAATTTGCTGAGAATGCAGCTGTAGGCCTGGTTTATTTTCATGTTCCGTGAACATGTCGGTGTTGCACTTAAGCTAAGACCTTTGGTGTGAAACTCCTCACAGTTTCCTCTTTGTTTGTGGGGTACTGCCATTTTGCATAGAATGTGCTCAAAATTTCTTTTAGGTGTCCTTCCCCCCCCCCTTCTTCTTTTTTTATTTTTATTTTGTTCAAGCCTTCCTACAGGTGAATAGATGGGGGTGGCAAGTGCATTTGGTAAAAGCCTTTACAATTTTTACTTTTTAAACCACCTTGACCGTGTGTGCCTCTTTGTATTGCAAATGTGAGCTGCAACAATGTGGGAAGAGGGTGGGAGGGTTGGTTTATATGAAATATAAATATAAAATATATATATGAAACAAATCTGTATTTCAATATGTTTTTAAAAATGCAATTCTCTTAACCCCAAAGCGACGTGTCCTCTCCTCCTCCACCTTTCACCCTGCCAAGTTTTAACTGCCCTTGCCAAAATTTCTTAGTTGTCCTCACATTTTCTTCCAGTTGGTTTATTTTCAGCCTGTTGTCATATTCACTATTTTCCACTTGATCACGTAGCTGTCCACATTATTCTGCGTTGCATTGGCTCCTAACACACTTGTTTGAAAGAGGCTTTCAAGATAAAACCGGTCTTGCTTATTTACGGCCAGGCCCTCTTCAACTGACATGAGAGCCCATGTTGGTTTTGGTGGCATAAAAGTGCCCAGTCGTCCAACGAGGGTAGAGCTGGTTGGTCAGAGTTGTCTCTTCAATTGCAGTCTGATGTCCAAGGACCAACCATTCTGAGAGAATTACCCAAGCCCACGTTGCCAAAATATATATTGTCAATTAAAAAATAAATTATCTTAACCACTTTTCCAGTTCTGGAAGATGGGAGCACTGAAGTGAAAAGATGATTGTGTTTTTTTAAAAAATATGAAAATACAGTGGTGCCTCACTAGACAGTTATCCCGCATGACAGTTTTTTCGCTAGACATTGACTTTTTGCAATCGCTATAGCGATTTGCAAAACAGTGATTCCTATGGGGGAATTTCGCTGGACAATGTTTGGTCCCTGCTTCGCAAACCAATTTTCGCTAGACAACGATTTTGACAGCTCCCTCCGCGCTCGCAAAACAGGGGTTTTCGGGACCTAAGCTTCACAAGACAGCTATTTAAACAGCTGATAGGCAGTTCGCAAAGTGTCTTTCCTATGGCCGATCTTTGCTAGACAACGACGATTCTTCCCCATTGGAACGCATTAAACAGGTTTCAATGCATTCCAATGGGGAAATGCTTTTCGCTACACAATGACTTCGCTAAACAGCGATTTCAGTGGAACGGATTATTGTCTAGCGAGGCACCACTGTATTGAAATTCACATGGGCTTGCAGTAGAAATCCCAATGTTGTCTGCTACCAAGGGAGTAGCCGTGGCATGAGGCTTACTGTCTGCGTGCCCTATGGGGCATCGGCAGAGGGGGTGTCTGGCACAGAAGAGGAGCAAGGAGGCGAAAGACTGGCCTTTCTCCCTAGACGTCTCTCCTGCCCCACAGTGCTGTTGGCCCTTCTGTGCAGTAGAGTCGAGGCAGGATGACGCTTGGGTCTGGGAGTTGGGAGAGGGGTGACGTGGTGCCTTTGCCCAACAAGTTGGCTACCACCACGCGATGTGGGGTGTCGTGTTGTACCAGGAAATGCAGCGCCCGAGGCATTCCGTCCCCGTGTCTTGAAGGGCCCGGTTTAGATTCAGAAATGGCCGTAGAGGTTCTCTGAAGGGATGAGCGAGGCCTGTTTGGACGGCCACGTTCAGACTCATTCAGAGTTCTGCCTTTTTGGGTCAGTCCGCCGTGTGACGAAACTTCTGGTCATACCTGTCAATTTGTTCAAGTTACACTCTTCTGTTCTCGTCTGTTGTTTCTGTTGCTTACAAGTCTGTAACCATACTAAATTCAGTCATGAAACTCCTGAGCCAAATCGGTCCCCAAAGTTGTTTTTCTGTAACAGATTCCACTCCTTTCGTGTCTTGATATATATACATATACATATATATATATATATATTTTGGTCCATTTTCTCTATACTGGAAGGACTCTACATTGTGTTTTTTTTAAAGTAAAACAATGACTTAGTGTTGCTTTGCTTCAGTTTGAAGTGTAACTTTCACTAATAACGGCAATAAATACGCTTTGCTCCAGACCTGAACTTTGTGTCAAAACTTTGATCATAGTCTCTCTTTGGGGTGGGAATGTGCATGTATTCCATTTCCCTTCACACTTCCGTTTCTGTCTTGTGATATTTGTTGCTTCTCCAGACTTTGCCACTCTGCTTCATTCGGTGGGGGTTTTTTGGTTTGGTTGGTTGGTTGGTTGGTTGGTTGGTTGGTTTTTTTGCTTTTTTAAAAAGTTTCTGGCCATCATAGATGTGATTAGACTTGGAAAGATATAAGCAACCTTCTGCTGAAGACTCCTAAGCTTCTTTAACTTCTCATTGGGAGGGTCACCTGCCGGTGCCTTTTGGGTCACTTCTACGCCGATTCCAAGAAAGATGGGGGGCTCCTTCATTGTCCCTTCGAACGGTTTACAACAAGTATGCAACAAGCGATTTGAGACGGACACAGGCATGGCTCGAAACACCCGCTGCAGTCCTGTTCCAGACACACACACACCCCGCTTGGTTTCAAACCTGGTTGCCCCAGAATATATGCCTGTGGGGGCCTCGCAGGGAGTGCAGCTTGGAAGAGCAGATGGAAGAAGCAAACTTTTTGGTCTGAGATGCGGCTCAGCGTGGGACCCATCCCAGCGCTTCTCTGGGCCGAGTCACTCCCTCTCCGTACACGGTCCTGTTTGTCTCAGAAAAAAAAGGTCTGTCCGTAATCCATGCTTGTGGGTGGTCTGGTTGAGATCCAGGCTTCTGTCTCACGCTTTGGTCAGGTTAATACATCCCAGTGGGTTCGTCGTTGATCGTGGCCTACGGTGACAAAGGAACTCCGCAACAGCTACACTCTCCCTGTTTCCGGCAGAGCACAAGTGTGATCCGGTTGGTTTGGGGCCTGAAGCCAATTCGAAAGAGGGCCCCTGCAGAAGTATCTTAAAAGTGTGTGTGTGTGAGGGGGGGGGGTCTGTTGCCTAGAGGCACACAGCACTGTGACCCTCTGAACTAAAACTCATGCATGAGCTCTACAATTGGGTTTACCTTTGTATGCAGCCTTCCTTCCTCAACCTGAGAGAGAGAAAAGCTACTCAAAATCAGAATGGAAATATTCTTTTCCTGTATTATTGCATCTTCCAGACTCTCCCAGACAGTGTGGGGCAGGCTGGCTGGGGGATTCTGGGAACTGTAATTCATGAAAGGAACTTTTCCTTGTTTCTCTAGGATCTTAGGCACGAGGTCTTTCTTATACCTTTCTGCCTGATTAACCCGAGATAAAACCCGTGTGCGCAAAGTATGGATTTTATGGCTGAGGTCTTGTTTCTCCTTAAGTCTAAAAGGACGCAGGTGCTGGAAAATCAAGAGGGACATTTTTTTTAAGAAAAAATGTCTGATTCACACATGGCCTCAGGCAACCCAGGCAAGAGAGATCTGCGGTACCTGTGACTCCTTCCCAAGGCCTAATTGAACAACTGTAATTAATAATTGCATGCTGTCAAGTCAATTCTGACTTATGGCAACACTTTTTCAGGTAGAGGTAGAGGATACCCAGAAAGGCGTCATTCCTTTCTTCTGGAAGTTCCCTGCTTGCCATGCCCCATCTCCCAGAAGGAAAAGTATACCCACTAAACTGGCAGGAGATTGAGTCAATTTATAATGCACTCAGTACCATCATATACAGGAGGGCCACAGTATCTGCAGGGAGTTGGTTCCAAGCTGCCCCACCCCACCCCCCGTGGATACTGGAAACGACAAAAGTATCAAATACAATACATTGCATGGTCTCTGGCTTCCTCCAGTGTCCAGTTATGGGGAATACACCCTCAAAATACACATATAAATACATATTTCGGGGGGGGGTTATTTAGTATTTTCAGGCAGTGGATAAGTGAATCAGTGGATACTGATCCCACAGATAGGGGAGTCCTACTGTACACAAAAATAGAAAGCCCATTCAGTGGATTTAAAACATGCACACAAGCAAGGGCCCAGGATTTAGCTGAGGATAGAAGTGTGGACCACCAGAGACCATTATAAATGGCACTCTTGGGCAGGAGCATCTCTCTCCAACTTTGGTCACACCTTGCAACCTCTTGCATGGGTCCACAGCCTCCACGGTTAATGCTCCAGCGGTTGGGTCCTTCCTTTTCCTTTGAACATCTCTGGGTTGCCATGGCTGTCTCCCCCTCCCTCTCTTGTCAACATTCCCAGGAGGATTCTTTCCGCCAAGCTTCTAAGCAAGAATGGCTGCCCAGCAACAGCACGAAGCGTACTTAGCAACTGGGCAGATAACATAGAGGCAGCTGTCGGGAGCCAAGGCCGTGCGGAGGACCGGCAGGGGAAGAGAGGTGGTGAGTTAATGGAGTTGTTGAGCCCGTGGGGGTGGGATTTGCTGTTTCTGTACAAGAACCCCCATTAGCCTTGAGCTTGCTTTGTATCATCTTTCTCTTCTGCCCCCCATCCTGATCCTTTTATCTTAAATAGAATTAGCACCCTTATTATCTTCTCTTCTCTGTCACATTGAACAACAGACAAAGAAAGGTTAGCAAGCCCAGCTGTTTCCACCATCTTTCTTTCCTTTTGCCAAGACCTTCCGAAATCCTATCCAGGCTGCCACAAGAATATGTACGATTAGAATTGACCTTTGTTTTTACAGGGCAGGGTGTTTTTTCTCCATCGCTCAGCACTTCCATGTGCGGGATTGAGAACCCATATTAAACCACCTGCAGATGAAACGGGGCTCTTTAAACTTAGCCCGGCGGTAGGCAGATGCAACAAATGTAGAAAGGAGGAGACAGAAAGAGTTTTCTTTGGAAAATGCATCCATCCCCCTTGGAAAGCTTGGGTGTTTCATAACATGAAACCTTCAGTGAGCCTCCTGAATTCTCACTCTTGCCAATATTTACATGCTTTATTGGGTGGGATTAACGAATTGGAACGTTCATGATCAATTTCCATGAAAACATGCCAGTTAGGAAAGGCCCTCGTTAGTTGGTGTTGGTCTTAAAACTGCTTTTGTAGCCCATCACTGTGCCTCCAATCCTGTTGTCTTATTTTTTTTAACCACAACATATCTGTTAAGAAGGAAATGACAAGAAAGCTGCATGATGCTTTTGGGTCATTAACAGTAAGCATCGTCCACTTGGAACCATCTTCAGTCTCAAAGTGTAAACGGAAGACCAAGTAAATTTAGTCTCTGCTATAGACGAGGGGATCCTTGTGTTTGGAACCATAAATTCATAGAATCATGGGGTTGGAAGGAGCCTATAAGGCCACCCCCTGCTCAATGCAGGAATCCAAATCAAAGCAGATCTGACAGAGGGTTACTCAATTTTCTCTTGAAGGCCTCCAGTGTTGGAGTGCTCACCACCTCCTGAAGTCATGGGTTCCTTTATCGTAACTCTCTAATAGTTAAGAATTTCCCCCCCCCCCCGAGATTCAGCCTAAATCTGTCTTGTTGTAGCTTGAGCCCATTGTTACGTGCCCTGCACTTGGGGATGATCGAGGACAGATCCTGCCCCTCCTCTGTAGGACTACCTTTCAAGTACAGTATTTGAAAAGGATTTAGGATTCTTAGGTGATGTAAACATGCCTGATGGACTTCTTTTTTTAAAAAAAATTATCTCAGCAGGAAGCGGCCATGGCCACTCTGAGCTTAAAGCCGGGCCAGAGGTTCACCCTTCCGGACTGGCATACCAACCTTGACCTCCTGTCGACCAACGCTGAGCGGCAGCGCTTCGCTTCCCACCAGATCAGGCAGGAGGGCCGGATCTTACGCAACGAAACCAATAACCAGGTGGGTGCCTCCCTCAAGGTCTATGCAAATAGAACCTCTTGAGAAGCAGGAACTCCTTAATTGCAAAAATAGGTTTATTCATTGCAACAGATGTAGTTCGCACATCCCAGAGCTTGCAAATTAGCTTCCTTATTTTCTCCCGTGATTGCTGAATTTGCAAGGAAGATTGATCAGAGATAAAACCCCTGCTGGAAGCGTGTCTCTGAATTAGCAATATGTTTTCTGCTTCGATTATGTGTGGTTTTAAAATGTGCTCATCAACTTTCTCCCACCCCAAACAGACAGAAACGAATTTGGGTCAGGCATTTCAAGGCGAGGGAAGGCAGCTAAAGGAGAATAGCCAAAACATCAAAAGTAATTTTGACTTTTGGCCGCCTGGATCTGCATATCGCCTGTGGGCCACTCATAACAGATGAGAAATCATTATTCTCCAACATCCCTCCCCCACCCTCACCCCTGCACCCCTCTTTTGTCTCCAGACAAAATGGGATGAGCACGACAACCGCACGCGTCTTAATGAACGGATCGACTGTGTGAACCAATGGAAGGAAACGCTGGACAAAGCCCTCACTGATATTGACACAGAAATCAATGCTTTGACTCAGGTAGGTGTGCACGCAACACCCCGGCCTCTATCCCTGGTGCTGTGTATTCTCCAAATCAGTAGCTGGTAGTATCAGGTGTCAACTCAGGAGATGTAGCATCTGTTGTCTCTCTCTATAGATGGAGACATGCCTGTCACTGAGTGGACCCTCCATTATCCTGTATTGAAGTATATGACTCCTACTTTGGCCAGGAGCAGAAGCGCCCAGAAACAGGGTAAACCCACCTGTCAGGAAACCTAAAGGTGGTGTTTCATCATGACACATCACATTAAAACAATCTTATTGGACCTAATTTAGAGCATTATCTAGTGGGTAGAGGAAGATGGCATCCTTAGTAAGGTGTAATCCCAATGCCTGTTGATCTGTTGACCATATCTAACAATGACCTGTTGACCTTGTCCAACAATGACCTGTTGACTTTATCCAAGTCTTGGAATCTCACTTCAAAAGATTCCCGGTAGAAGCAAGTTCATGTTGTCTATTGTGCTGGTCCCAGTCTCCAGAGAGGGAGAAGGGTGATGCCCATCCTCTCACTTTTCCTGGATTTCCACACACCCCCCTTCAGATGAAGGAGCAGGCCGAGCGGGCCCTTCAGGCAAAGAACTTGCCCCTAGACGTGGCTATTGAAAACCTCACTCTTCGGGAGAGCCGCCGAGCCATTGACGTGGTGAGAGACCCCGTGGAGGAAGAGCTGCACAAAGAGGTGGAGGTGATCGATGCCACCAAGCGAGACCTTCAGCAGAAAGTGAGCGAGGCCTTTGAGCAGCTCTGGTGAGTCGAGGGGGCCCGTGGTCTTAACTCGCCCTCTTCATGGAATGACTTCAGCCTCCAGGTTGGTTTGAAGGCCTGCAGGATGATGTGGTGGCGGCGTGGGGATCTTCCTAGTGGCTCAAAACGGTGACCTTCCCCACCCCTCTTTTTTAATTCACCCCCAGCCTATTGCAGGAGGCCCGCCAGCAGCTGAACATGGACCACCGGGGGAAGATGGAGGCCCTGGAGATTGACCGGACCTGCGTTTCTCTCAATGTCAATTCTCCCAATATCTCATACAAAGTCAATCCCACCCGAGTGCCTGTCGGGTAAGAGTTAGGCCATGTTCACGAACCTTCACAAGAACTTGACTGTTTCTCCCTTCCACTCGCCTCTATTTTCCCCTAGATGGATAGTTTGCAAGGGTTACAATTATCTGCAAGTCCTGTTCTTGCATTAATTATTATTATTTACTACTACTACTACTACTACTACTACTTTACTAACCCAAATACTTGTAACACAATTAGGGCTGGCTTTAGTTCTTTATTAAAATCTGTATTGTTGGGATGAAGTCATAATCAGTCTCCCTTTCCTTGAAGAAAGTGAGACACAAGTCTAAGAACATGTACTTCAATTAAAATACTGATTTCACCTAAAATCCACCTCCCCGCCCCTATTTCTTCTGCTTGATAATTTGAAGGCAGATAAGTAGCTAAACCCCACCCGAGCAACCTTCTTTTCTGGGGAGTATTGGAGTATAAATGCTGTGAACCCTTCTCCTATGTGTGTGCAAGACTGTGGGTGTAAATATAAATAAACGTTTGCCAAATTTCTGTTAAGAAAATAAACACACACACACAGAACAAAAGTAATGTAGTGGTTCCTCTCCTCCCATGTCTGGTTGCACACCTGGTTTTGCAGGGTTTGTGGCTAAGCATGTGTAGGAGAGCTTGCTGGGTGGGGGGAGACAGGATTGCCTTTACACCACCCTTACACACATTTTTAAAGTGAAATATTTAAGAGCCTCATGGTGCTGTGGTTAAACTGCAGTACTGCAATCAAGCCTCTGCTCATGACTTGAATTCAATCTGGCTTGCTCGAAGTTGACTCAGCCTTCAATCTTGCCGAGGTCGGTAAACTTGAAATACCCAGCTGGCTGGCAAGGGCAATGCCTACCCTGCATAACTAAATTGTAAACTGTCCAGAGAGTGTTTTAAGCACTATGGGGCAGTATATAAACAGAACACTTTTTACACAGTCTTGAAAATAAACAGGATTCTGTCCCTTATGTCACTGATACATTATAAATTCCCGGGGTCTTGTTTCTAAAACACTTCAATTCTGAGGAGGTGTTTATACTCCTTAGAATTCATACAGGTTAGAATTTATACAGCATTCATTCATGTTTCATCTGTAGAGAGCACCCACTTAATGGCCTTCTATAGGGTACTGCTGGAGGGGGTGAGAGTGAGCATGCCGGACTAATTCTAAACCACTAGACCAGCTATTATGTTGGGCTCTCGCAGATCCATCACTCCCGAACAGTGGGACCAGTTCAGCCAGTACAACAAGGACCGAGCAGAGGCAGAATTGAAAGCAGCCGCCGAATTACGGGAAGCCATCGCCCTCACCATTGCCCAGGTAAAGCACGCAGATTCCCATGGGCTTATAAGGAGCCACTCCATTGAGTCAAGGAGCCAGTCAATTCATTAATTTTTGTTCTTGTGATATTATCTGTGTACAGAGATGAGTCTGGAAGTTGCAGGTGCTCTGAATGATAGCCACACATACACACACACCCCTTAACTCCGAAAAGAGAGGCAGCTGGATCTGTCACTATCAGCCAGTGAGAAGCAGCCTTTTTGTGGTGCTAATGGCTCTTGACTGCCCGTTCAAGACCAAACAACCCTGAAATACCTCACAGGGTATAGTTAAAACTCAACATAGTATTCCTGGGTGAATCCATTTCTTCCCTAACTACTGTGAAGATTGCAACTAAGTTCAGAGGAAGAGGAAAGTCTCTGTGTGTGGAGGGTGGGGGGTTATACAATGTCATATACCCTGGTGTTTATTTATTTATTGGATTTCTATCCCGCCCATCTAGATCAAAGGTCTACTCTGTTCAAAATATCCTGGGCCCTTAAGTCTGTAAACCCTTGCTTCACTGGATATTATAAGCATCTTATTGTGTATGGAAACAAATCCATAGGTAGAGGTTTCGTTTTTTTCACTGTTCTACACCTTATAAGTGTGAAGACCTACTTATAAGTTTGAAGTACCCAGCTTGCTGGGGGGGGGCAATGTGTAGCCTGTATAATTAAAATTGTAAACCGCCCGGAGAGTGCTTGTAGCACTATGGGGCGGTATATAAGTCCAATAAATAAATAAATTATGTGATCAAGGCAATTCATATTAAATTCTTCAAAAATTTGAACTCTCTCCTCAAACCAATTCCCCCATTTGAAGGGAGCTTCATATAGTGAAACACAATAAGCAGCAAAGTGTTTGTGCTCCTAAGAACAGTCCTCATAGCCAAAACTCCAAGGAGAATCTGAAAATGTTGATGTGTGTCAACAAATCAGTTCTAGAAGTGATCATCTTGGCCAGAAACAGGTCTTTCGTAAACATTACGGGTCCTGATTGCCCAATACAAGTACTCCAGAAGAGTTACGGTTGTCTCAGATATTGCCATGGACCCTATTAATCAGAAAGTACTGGTAGTTTTGACACAGTGAGCCTTTCCTACAATAGTGATTATAGCAGTCTTATGTATTCTAGAAACTTTTGGACAATGCCTGTGAAGTGTAATGCCTTTGTTATACTATGTTCAACTGTTACTGGAAGGTCCGTCTTTCCAGTATTTTTAGCTGGAAATGTTTAACTGCCTGCATTTTTAACATTTGTTCTTCCCGACTCCCAGACAGACAATGAACTGGAAGGCCAGCGCGTGGCCACGGAATTTGCCTTCCGGAAGAGGATTCACGAGTTGGAGAAGGCCCTTGACGAACTCAGGTGGCAGGAAAAAAATGTTAGTCTTTACAGGGGTGCTCAAGGCTTGGGAAAATCTTATCGGATGAGTCGGTGGGAAGTGTAGTTTTCCCTCCAATGTGGAGGTCTTAGTGACAACCATCCATTCCCCCCCACACACCCTTCCTGTGTATTTCTGATTTCCTCAGATTCTGGAAGAAATTGCTGACATGGAAGAGGACATCCGACGTCTGGAAGAAGACCTCCGGCGTAAGGTGTGGAACCTAAAACTGGCCCACACCCGCCTGGAGACCCGGACGTACCGTCCTAACATGGAACTTTGCCGTGACCAGGTAGGGCAAGCCTCGAGGAGAATCTGCCGGTTGCGCTTAAGTTGAGAGTTTGCCAAGACCAAGCAATTGTATGTGAACTGCAGGGGGAAGGAAGAGATAGCCAAAAAGGAATATAAAACATTGTGGGCGGCTGAGGTTCTTTGTGGGGTCGTTCAACCATTTCATCCACTACCTGTTGGTGGCGTCCATTCATGTCCACAATCCGTTGTCTTATAGAGACACGGGGAGATTTGCTGGCTCTCGGAGGTTTTCACAGAAGCCTGCCCCAGGGGTGGGGTAAAAGCTGACTGGGGTGTAATCATGTTTTATGGACAAGATTTGGGATTTGTTTATTCGGGTGAGGCTTTCCTGTCTTAGGCTCAGCATGGATTGACAGATGAGGTCCACCAGTTGGAAGGCACCATCGCGGCTCTGAAACAGAAAATGGCACAGTCACAGTATGTTCCTCCATCCCCCCCCCAAAAAAAAACCTTTTAACGGTGAGAAGGGAATCGGGCCAGTTTTATCACGGCTGCTTTGAACAGCCAGAGGTTCCTTTTAAGAGACAGCTTTGCACCTTTCGGGCACCCAGATGTTTTTACCTATAACTCCTAGTTTTATCATGGCTGCTGCTTTGAACAGCCAGAGATTTTTTTTTTTTTAAGAGACAGCTTTGCACCTTTGGGGCACCCAGATGTTTTACCCATAACTCCCGTCAGTCCCAACCAGCAAGGCAGTCACAAGAGATTATGGGGTGGTGGTGGTTTATAGCCCAAAATTATCTTGATTGTCAATGGTCTGTCGGCTCTGGGTTATAGGATGATTCACCCAGGACATGTAGGCCTTTGACCCTAAATCCTGAAGGATTGGTGAAAAGAACGTTCCCATCTATGACCCCTTAGTGGGAGAATCAGGAGTTTTTCTCCCCCATGGCTGAAAACAACTTTCAGTGACATCCTGTAGCAACCCTGGAGGGCAAAATTTCGGTTTAATTTTGAATATAAATGCGTCGAACCCTGGTTGATCTCTCCTTGGCTTTTGGCAGGGATGCTCTGGATGCGCTCTACAAGCATCTGTCCCGCATCCAGACCGACATTGGCTACAAAGCCAACTCCCTGCTCCTGGATAACAAGTGCATGGATGGCAGGCGGAAGCTGACCGTCCCCGCCGAGAAGTTTGTGCCCGAGGTCGACACCTTCAACCGAACCACCAACCGCACCCTCTCGCCCCTCAAGAGCCGGCAGCTGGAGCTGGCGTAACGGGACGGCGTGGGACGCGGCCGTCCTACAAGTGACACTCCTTGGGAAGAGGGGCGTATCCCAGCCCCTCCCCGTTGACTCGTCACCCGTGCGGTGGCAACCCCTCTGTTGAGTTCCCATGACTTGAATTGCCTCCTTTGTTTTGACTCTTGTAGCTTTAAAACTCCAAAAGAAATACAGTACTTGAATAAACGAACCTGGAGCTCAATCTGTCCTCTCTCTCTCTAGCTGCAGATGTCGTGTGACCTGGGTGTGAAATATTTCTGACGCCGGACATTCTTTTGAGCCCAGAATAGTGGCTCCTAAGAACACTTTGGCCCCTGGACCTTCTGGGGTGGCCCTTGCGCCCGTCCGTCTGTCTCTCCCAGTTCGGCCTCCTCTGCGAGGGGGGCGGCGGGTGAGGGGTTAGGGTTGGGGGTGTCAGGAAGCTTCTTGCAGCCACCGGGGCGGCAGGAGATGAAATGCGCCCACGAAATCGGCTGCAACCATAACAGGATGGAAAGAGGAAGGATGCCATGCCCCAGGACGAAACGCTACAGAACCCAAATTCAGAAATGGGCCAGGCTCTTTTCTGGGAAAGATACTCCCCAAGGAGGGGGCCGTCCTGTTCGCAACAGGTTTTTGAGAGGGGCTGCCTTTTCGGGCTGCCATGGCCAAAGCTTTGGGTTGACCCAAAGGCAGTTCAGACCCTTTCCTCTCTATGTGTGTGTTTTGTTTTTTGATGCTTGTTTTTCTTATGGATTAATTCCCCCCCCCCCATATTCCCTCCTACCTTCCTTTTATACATACACACACATACACATTTAATTTGATTTATTTTATTTCATTTATGTTTTGAGCTTCTTATTTCCTTCTCCTTGGGTAGCAGCCTGTGGGGTTATTTTAGAAAGGGGCATTTCCCCCCCTCAGCTTCCCCCCCCTATTTTTGCCCGGGGGGGAGAAGAACGGGGCCTGGACTACAAAGCCCAGAATCCCCGACCAGCCAGCCTAGGGCGTCATCGTCGTCTTTATCCTCCCCCACCCCCCAAAAAAACCCCAGGAACCTCTCCGTGCCCCTGAAATGCGGCGGCGGGGCCGGCAGGGGGCGGGCTGAGGCCTCCTCAGCGGGCAAGGCTTTGGGCCCGCCCGCCTACCTGCCTGCGAGTGCGCCTGCGCGTCTCCGAAGGGACGCCTAAGATGGCGGCGGCGATGGCGGCATCCTCCTTCTCCTCCGGCCCGGGTTCGGTCCTCGGCCGGAGCCGCCGCCGCTTCCGTGGCTGCTTGCTGGGGGCCCTGCTGGGCGACTGCCTGGGTGGCCGCTACGAGGCCTTGCCGTCCGTCGACGGGCCGGAGCTGCTGCGCTTCGTGCGGGGCCTTGGGCGGCCTCAGAGGAAGCCGAGGAGCCCTGAGGGAAGAGACGCCGCCCGGGCGGAGGAGGGCGAGAAGAAGAACGAGGAGGAGCCAGGCAAGGCCTGAGGCCCCGTTTCCTTTATTTACCTCACCCGAGGGAAAGAGAGAAGGAACCTCACTTAGTTACTAATTAATCCCTGAATGAAGAGGGTAGGCATCTTGCCGGCGCCCCTC